AAGAAATGAAACACTCCCTTATCCCCTTTCCCTTCTGTTTAATAAACAGCATTGTTGTTCTAGCAGCCGGTTGTGTGTTTGATCGGCTTTTCCTCTGCAGGGCTCTGGGACAGTGCTCCGGGCAGTGATCTCCTTTCGGGCTGGCAATAGAGGTCGAGGAGCCCCCTGGCTGCCCGCTTTTATTCTGGGCGGCGGCTGGGAGGGACATACCCAGACAGACATGCCCGGCCTCCTGCGACGCTTTCTCAGCCCTGCACTGCTGGGGACCCCCTTGGTGGGAAGAGATTTCTGTTTCCATGGCCCACTCCCTCTCGGCCATTCTGCTGAGCCTGCCTGTTTCTCTGCCACTGAGGAAGATTTGGGGGGATCTCAACACCCGTCCTGCTAGAAACCGGCCTGACTCACTAACCTTCCCCCCCCCTCAAGCAACTGAAGGGACTTGGGCCAGAAGCAGCGTCCCGGCGTCCGCACACCCAACGCTCTGGCCTGCTGTGGGCCCACTACCCTCTTCCTCATCGGGACCCTCTTCAGTCCCCTTTACAGTCCCCCAACTGTGAGGCCCAGAAGACCCCCAACAGCAGCCCTGGCTCCGCCTCTCCGATCCCTACATGTCCCGGCCCTGCCCCCTCTGCCCTGGTGTGACCCCGCTGCCCCAAACTGGCTCCTGTTTTCCAAGGGGGTCGGAGGAGCGGGGCTGCTCTGGGGCTGGGAGGATGGCTGCTGAGGGCGGGCAGGAGTGGGAAGGCAGAGTGGGGAACCTGCTAGGGAACAGGGTCCCTGGAGCCTGTGCACCTCCTAGTGTGATGCAGAGAACATGCCCCAGCAGAGGAGCTGAATGTGTCCTGCAGCAGAGAGCCAGATTAGGGGTGGCTGCCTGCATGGGAGGTAAAGATTAAGGGGCGCTGGGGGGTCAGCTGGTCCAATAGCAAGAGGGAGGGGTGAGTTCTGAGGCGAGGTCTCTCACCAGAGGCTCTTAAACAAAGTAAGCTGTCATGGAATAAGAGGGAAGGTCCTCTCATGGATCAGTAACTGGTTAAAAGACAGGAAACAAAGGGTGGGAATAAATGGTCAGTTTTCAGAATGGAGAGAGGTAAATAGTGGCGTCACCCAGGGGTCTGTACTGGGCCCAGTCCTATTCATAAATGACCTGGAAAAAGGGGTAAACCGTGAGGTGGCAAAATTTGCAGACGATACAAAACTACTCAAGATAGTTAAGTCCAAAGCAGACTGCAAAGAGCTACAAAGGGACCTCAGTAAACTAAGTGGGGATAAAATAGAGGTCTATAAAATCATGACTGGTGTGGGGAAAGTAAATAAGGAAGTGTTATTTACTCCTTCTTGTAACACAAGAACTAGGGGACACCCAATGAAATTAATAGGCAGCAGGTTTAAAACAAACACAAGGAAGTATTTCATCACACAACACACAGTCAACCTGTGGAACTCCTTGCCAGAGGATGTTGAGAAGGCCAAGACTATAATAGGGTTCAAAAGGGAACTAGAGAAGTTCACGGAGGACAGGTCCATCAATTGCTATCAGCCAGGATGAGCAGGGATGGTGTCCCTAGCCTCTGTTTGCCAGAAGCTGGGAATGGGTGATAGGGGATGGATCACTTGATGATTACCTGTTCTGTTCATTCCCTCTGGGGCACCTGGCATTGGCCACGGTCGGAAGACAGGATACTGGGCTAGATAGACCTTTGGTCTGACCCAGGACGGTCGTTCTAATGTTCTTAAGAGGGTGGTGGGGGTTGAGGGGTGACAGGGGTCCCTGCAAAGATGATAGATCAGATCACAATGGGGACAAATCCGAAGCAGCATCTGCCAAGGGAATCGCCCTCAAACCTGAGGTATTTCCCTAGCAAATTGCCTAGATATTGTGCCGGCCACAGTGAAGCCAAGACATTCTTGTGTGTGTCCGAGATGCAGGGAATGCGGAAAGTGGTGGCTCCCAAGCTCCATCTACAAGCTTAAGTTCTGCCCAGTCACTCCCACAGCGCTGATGTGCAGGTTTCATCGGCAGCAAAATCGTTAAGAACTGTGACCCTTTTACGTCTCAGTCGTTAGGTTTCAGGGTCAACAACCCACACATGACTGCTGGGCCAGAGCTCCTGTTTCAGGCTGGCTGCCTACTCAGGCAAAGGCCACTGGATCCATTACACAGTTTGAAGTTGTCTTCTTGTAGCCAGGAAGGGTGAAAGGCTTATTACAGTACAGACCCGTTTACACGCGAATCCGCTTAAAGCGCGGTTGCGGCATGCCTCCCAGTGCTACCTATTTAACACGCGAGACTCGTTAACATGAGGTAGAGGAACTTGCTGTGTGGCGCTCCAGATTTGCTCACTAACTCACTGACACAGAAATCGACAGGCAGTGCGGAGCGGAAATGTGTTGTACGTCTTTACCGATATTGGTAAAGACGTATCACGCACGCTTAGTCATTGTCACGCTAGAGAGAGATATAATATGTACAGTAGTACTGTAGTTATATAGTAATACAGTATATATACTACCTTAGAAAATTTTAACCGTAGGCCTAATATAATGGCAGAGGGCAAGCGGCAACGTTCCTAGCTGCAATATATTGAGTAAATAGCGGAGAAACCCAGGCCAAAGTTTCAAAAGACATTGGGACTGCCGAATCTACTCTCCAAGGATGGCTAAAAAACGAATCTAAACTGAATGGCTCTGTACAAAATATCGATTCTGCTGCGGGGCTTAAGCGAAAACGTCTGCGCTATTCAGCAAAACCCACAATAGACAAAGCCATGCGTACGTGGTTTGCTCAGGAAAGGCTGAAAGGAATGCCGCTAAGTGGGCCAATTCTTCACGCCCAAGCGACAAAATTTGGAAATTTAATGGGGGATGAATCATTCCAAGCCAGCAAGGGGTTTACAAGTCGTTTTAAAAAGCGTCATGGCATAGCGCAGGTGTTGATTTCTGGAGAAAGCCGATCAGCCGATGAATCGGCTGCGAACGCGTTTCCCGCCGTGTTAAAATCTATTTTACAAAATGAAGACTACCAGGAAGAACAACTTTATAATTGTGATGCAACAGCTTTATTTGCAAAACTGCTACCTGATAAGACTTTAGCCTTTAATTACGAGACACAGAAAACAGCTGGATTTAAAAAGATAAAAGATCGTGTGACTCTTACCCATAAGCTTACCCCTCTTCTCGTTGGCCGCTTTCATAACCCTCGCTGCTTTAATCACCTCAATAGAGCCAAACTGCCAGTAATATACGCTAACAGCAAAAATGCTTGGATGACGAGACGCATTTTCGACAACTGGTTCCACAACAGCTTTGTTCCAGCTGTTCATGAGCATCTGCAGTCGAAGAAACTCAAAGCCAAAGCACTTTTGCTACTTGACAATTGTCCAGCCCATCCTCCAGCCGAATCACTGGTATCGAGAGATGGAAAAATTCGAGTGCTATACCTACCATTCAACACAACATCAAAAATTCAACCTGTAGACCAGGGCATTATTCAGAATTTTAAAAACCATTATCGACGGGAGCTGATTTCGGTGATTGTGTCATGCATGTCTTCAGGCATTTCCGAATTCCTGAAACAGTTAAACATGAAGGAAATTATTGATTTAGTTAAAAAAGCTTGGGACAGAGTAAAACAAAAGTCCATTGAAAACTGCTGGATGAAGGCTCTCGGTGATGCCTTTTCTGTCAAAGGCGGCTCAGACTCGGAAAACTCCAGCAGTGGCACTGATTCAGAGCCAGACTATGAAGGATTTTGGGAAGAAGACGTCCTACAAACACGCACGCAGACAAAGGAGGATAAAGGTAAACTTCTCTTTCCAATGATAAAAAATGTTAGTTTGGCTACGTCGCCGGAAATCATTACCGAGTGGCTGGAGATGGATGAAGATTGCCCGACTTCAGAATTTCTGTCCAAGGAAGAAATATTAACGGGCTTTGAGGCTACGTTGAACCGTGAAAGTGATGGTGAGAATTTCTAATAACACAGGCCTAAATGACAATGACGAGGAGGAGGAGGAGGTCGTTGAAAAGGTCAACATTTCGCCCACAGAAGCCCGTAGGCCGTTGTAAGCTTTATGGAGGAGCAAAATGCGGAAAATATCGAAATCATTCATCTGCGGCGAATGACAGACTTCATAAGAAAGAAAACAAACGCGAGCATGAAAGAGCAGAAAATAACGGCGTTTTTTTCGAAGTGAATCATAGACACTTTTTTTCAGCAGGACCCTCTTAACCTGCGGTCTGTTAACACGCGGTCGTGACGGCTTGACTCCCGGCGTCCGTGTGTAAACGGGTCTGTACGGCACTCAAGAAAGCTCAGATCTCTGGGCACACAATGGGCCTGTGATGGGGTGCCAGGGCTGCCTGGCTTAGCCAGCTCCGTGAAGTCCCAGTGGGAAACCCCTTCTCCCTGGGGTTTGCAAGCTGGGGAGCAGCCCGGGGTTGCCATCTCTTACCCTGTCGCGCCGCCGAGGCTGATGCTTTGATCCCGCTTCGCTGCCCAGCCCAGGGAGCCAGGACAGGGATTGAGAGGAGCGGCCCTTCGTGTAGCTCGAACTCACAACCCTGCGCACCACAGCGCTCGCCTGGAGCGCCAAGGGCCACTCCGGGTGCAATGCGCCGAACAGCCACTAGAGGACCTCGCGCTACAGCGCCAGGCTCCCGGGATGCCCATCCCTTCCCTTCGACAAGGCGGGGCTACGTGGGGATTGACGGCGAAGAACAGCCAATGATCGAGCTGGGCTGGATGAAAGAGGCGGGTTCTGAGTGGGCGGGGGCGTGGGGGGATTGGCAGCCAGTGGGGACCCAATGGCAACTCTGAGTGAGGGGCGGGACTAGGGCCCGGCGGTTGATGGACGGCCCCAGAAAACCAGTAGCCGCGCTGGCTTGGGCGGAGGGGGCGGGTCACGCTTGCGACAGACAAAGGCTTCGAGCCAATGGCTCGCCGGCGACGGTTGGTCGGCAGCCAATGGGAGCGGAGCGCGGCGCTGGGGGGGCAGGGCCCTGTCTGGGGAGGTGGCGGTTGGGTCTGAGCCGGCGGCCGAGGCGGTGAGTGACCCGGGCCTGTATCGGCCCCTCCCCCATAGCGACCCCCCCGGAGCCCCCCCCCCCGGGGCCCCCCTGGCCCGTGCCCCCCCGGAGCCCCCCCCCCCCAGGGGGATCCCCCTGGCACGTGACCTCCCTCCTGGTCTGTGACCCCCGGATCCCCCCCTTCCCAGGAATTTCCTTCCATGCCCTGGCCGGGGGGGGGCGTTGCTACTTCCTGACCCCCAGCTGCCCTTTTCCCTAAATCCCTCCCCATGGGATCCCCCATTCCTGCTCCCTCCCTGTGCCCCCCCCCGCCATGGGGGTCCCCTCCCCAGTACCCCCCATCCCACCCCAGAGTCCCTGTTCCTTACCCAGCACCGCTCCGCCCACCGTGGGACTGGGCTTTGGGGCAGCTGGGGGGGGGGGGGTTTTTTTGGGGGGGGGGGGGTGTTTGACCACCTGCCCCACATGTACCATTGTTGGGGTTCCCCAAGAACTCGGTCCGACTCAGGTGCGTTTATTCGTCCGGCTGCGAAGCTCTGCTGAGCGTATCAGACTCCAGCGTAGGGGGCGGGTAGCGGGAGCTCCAAGGTTACACCTGATACGACATTTTTACTAACGCTGATCACACCTGCATTCAGAGCGATACATGGCATCGCGCTCTTCGGGGTGAGCGTGGTTACTTTTGGGGCGCCGGTCCCCGGACAGCCTGCTCTGTCCAGGTATAACGTTCCCGCTTCATCTCTTCCATGGGCCCTGGCACCAGGGACCTCCTGCGTAGCTTAGCTAGCACAGACATCCTGACTCCAGCATACTGCTTGTTCAGCCCCTGTTTATACCCTGGCCTTCCGTTCACCTTCCCAGTCACGCCCACTAAGAAATGAGCCAGGCCTCCAGCCACGTGGGTCAGGATGGAGCTGTGTGTGTGTGTCTGACAGGTGGGGGACAGCGCTGCGTGGCGGATCCCCTCTGTGGGCTGGTGGAGCCAAGAGGCAGCCCCGGAGCCACAGCTCTGCCCTTTCCATGGTGGCATTTGCCTCCCTCTATACCTAGTGGTGGGGCGGCAGCAGTCCTGCTGGCCTCCTCTGCGCAAGCACCTCCTGTACCTAGCCTTGAGAGTGGGTGCAGCCATCACGGTTCTCCTGGCTCGGATGCAGCCAGCCTGTTCTCAGCTGTGAGAAGCTGCAAACAGCTTCCTCCCTTGTTTGTCCTCCTGGGAGCAAAGGCGGCATGGGGTTGGGAGCTCTGGCCCTTGTTGTACTGGGAGGGTGGATTCTGGTATGGAAAAAGTTGAGCACCTCTGGCTTAGTCCTGTCAGCACTGCTGCTCCCCCAGGTGGACAGCGGGCCCAGCAAGCACTCAACCACTCCCTCCGCCCTAGAGCAGTGGTTCTCAAACTTTTTTTTCGCGGACCACTTGAACATTGCTGAGAGTCTCGGTGGAGCACTTAATGATCTTCCCAAATGTTGTTTGTACCGTTAGCTAACTATTGTAAAGTGCTTTGGATAAAAGTATCGTAGGGGTATTCACCCACGAAAGCTTATGCTCCAATACTTCTGTTAGTCTATAAGGTGCCACAGGACTCTTTGTCGCTTTTTTGGACTTAATAATTAATGTTTTTTTGTTCTACAAATAAAAGCACACAACTCATATTTTAATATCAGTAGTCTTACCTTTCTAGTGCGATGGATGTGCCCTCTCTCCCCTGCCACGGCAGTCCCCGAGCTGGGGCTGGGAAGGAGTGGGGTCTCGCCCTCTCCCCCACCACAGCAGCCCCTGAGCTGGGGCTGGGAAGGAGAGAGGTCTCTCCCTTGCCCTTCATTGTCTTGTGTGCGGCCGCCCAGGCACGCACCGTAGAGGGAACTTCCATGGACCACCTGAATGGAGTTTGCGGACCACAGTTTGAGAACCTCTGCCCTAGAGCATTGCGTCAGTGCAATTGCACCAGGCTGTGTTGCAGGGTGGTTAAGCACTGGAATAAATTGCCTAGGGAGGTTGTGGAATCTCCATCATTGGGGATTTTTAAGAGCAGGTTGGACAAACACCTCTCAGGGATGGTTGAGATAATACTTAGTCCTGCCTTGCGTGCAGGGGACTGGACTAGATGATCTCTCGAGGTCCCTTCCAATCCTATGATTCTATACTGCCCTTAACGGGAGCTGCAGTACCATTGGTGCCACTTCCCAGGCAGGACCAGTGGTGGGAGCTGTAGTACAATCAGTCAGACAACACAGTTAGAAAAACACCTGAGCCCTGTCTGTGCTACAGCGCTCGCCATCAGGGCATTCTGCTCCCCAGTGCATGTTCTAATATATGCTGTCTCTGCACCTGCTCATAGGCTTGGCCTGTGCATCCTGCTGGTAAACAGAATTGTAGATTTTATGGCCAGAAAGGACCATTCTGTTCATCCAGTGTGACTTCCTGCCAAGCCCCGGCTGGAGCATCACACCCCCAGTAATCTCAGTATCAAGCCCACCATTTCGGTGTGAGCTACAGCAGATCTTTCAAGAAGATACCCACGCTTGGTTAAAAGACCCCAAGTGATGGAGAATCTCCCCTGTCTCTGGGTCCGTTGTCCCAGTAATTACTTAATTTCCTTGTTAAAAAATTGTGCCTTATTTCTAGCCTGAATACGTCCAGCGTCAGCCATTGGATCTCATGCTGCCTTTGTCAACTGGATTAAAGAGCTGCCTACTCTGAGATCTCCCCTTGGAGGTGCCGACTGCTGGGATCCAGTCACCGCTTAATCTTGGATTGAATAGATTGAGCTTCCTTCGGGCTTGTCTGCACTTGGAAACTTACTGAAATACTGATTCTGGAGTAGTGACTTTGGTGTAAATCCCCATGTGGACACTTGTATTCTGGAATAAGAGTGGATTAAGCTGTATTGGAATAAGGCCTTGTATTTTGGAATAAAAGTGTGGATGGGGTGACTTAGGGATAACTACACCAGAATAGCTATTTCGGTGAGTGTCCCTGCATAGAGAAGCCCTTAATCTCTTGCTACGAGGCAGGTTCCCCAGATCTGGAAACAGTCCAGCAGCTCTCTTCTGAACCCTCTCCAATTTGTGAGCATCCTTTTGGTCTCACTAAAGCCAAAGACATCACCTAGAGACTCTACACCTTGCTATTCCCCTGCTTACGCCTCCAAGGATCACGGTCACCTTGTTAGCGGAGTAGGCTGTATACGCCCAGTGACAGGACAATCCGGGGCTCGTGTGTGTTATCTGAACAGGCCGAGTCTATGCGGAAAGCGCTCTGGATCTGAGGGATGGAATTCCCCAGCCTGGGGTACTCTGCCCTGGGTGGCTGGAGCAAGTCCTGAACTAACAGAGGAGGGAGACAGGCACACGTGTTCAACAGGCCCAGCTAGGTCTGAAATCTGATCAGTTCCCCCGGGGGAGTGTAACTTGCAGTGTGGTGCTGTACGGGCTGCTTCCCCTCAGTCCCGACCCTGTTCCCTGACTCAATCGCTGCTATCCCCCGGTCCCCAGCTCTGCCAATGTCCCTCAGGCCCAACCTGCAGCCACCTGTGCCCCAAGCCCTGGGCTCCCTCCACACACAGCTCTCCTGTGTCCTTCAATCCTGACCCACATTCCCCCCTACTCTCCCAGCCCTGGGCTCCCTACATTGCCAATACCCCTCAATCCTGACCCCCCAGTCTTGAGCCTCGCCCCCCACTCTGCTCATCTTCTCATTCCCACCCCACCGCCCCCTGCCATCCTAGTCCCCGGCTCCTGAGTGTCAATCCCAATTCCCGTGAACTCCATCTCCTGCTGCAGGGTTGCCTGGGAACGCAGGGCCAGAGCGCTGAGGGTTCACCATGGCCAAGCTGCAAGGGCTTCAGGCTGACTACGTCTTCCGCGGCACGGAGCACGTTGTGAGGATGACTGTGAACGGGAGCGTCCTGGAGGTGGAAGTGGAGGACCGGCTCACCACCGATCAGTGGAGAGGAGAGTTTGACGCCGCCTGTGAGTGTCCTGCCAACCCCATTACGTGGGTCACCTCCCCTGTGAGGGCTGTATCAGCTGCGGGAGGGAGCAACAAGGGACTGGGAGTTCAGGACTCCTGGGTTCTATCCCCAGCTGTGGGAGGAGTGTCGTAGCTAGTGGTTAGAGCAGGGGGGCTGGGAATGCAGGACACCTGGGTTCTATCCCCAGTTGCAGGAAGGGAGTGGCGGCTAGTGGTTAGAGCAGGTGGGCTGGGAATGCAGGACATCTGGGTTCTATCCCCAGCTGCAGGAAGGGAGTGACGGCTAGTGGTTCGAGCAGGGGCTTGGGAGCCAGGACTCCTGGGTTCTATCCCCAGCTCTGAGAGGGAGTGGGGTCTAGTGGATAGAGCAGGGGAGTGTCGAGGACTCTTGGGTTTCCTTCCAGTTCCCAGAAGAAGTGCAGTCCAGTGATACGCTCAGAGGACTGGGAGTCCCAGAGTTCTGCGGGGAGCTGAGCCTGACCTTGCCTGACAAGCGTCTCTCCCTGTTTCGTTTGCTCCCAGTCATTGAAGATTTAACTCACAAGACGGGGAACTTCAAGCAGTTTGGGATCTTCTGCAGCATGCTGGAGTCTGCCCTGAGCCAGGTGAGGCCTGCAAAGCTCACAGCTAACAATGCACCTGGCAATGGCAGAAGGGGATCTGGGCTGCCATGAGTCTCATTGGACAGCTCGCTAGGGGCCCAAGGGTCCCCCCTGTTCTGTGGAAAAATGGAGCTGGCCGTAACAGCCAGCTGCCTCGCAGTTCCCTGCATGTGATGCACCATCCCGCTGGACTGCTGTCACTCGCTTTAGTGCAGAGTGGCATGCTGGGAGCTGTAGTCTTTAGGGGCAGCCCCATGGCCAGCCACACACTATCACCTCCTCCCTCACTGTGGAGTGCAGCGCGAAGGGCTGGGCTGGTGCATCCCTCTGAGTCAGCGCGTCTCCCCGCAGAGCAGCGAGTCGGTCACCTTGGACCTCCTCACCTACACTGACCTGGAGGCGCTGAGGAGCCGGAAGATTGGGGTGGGCCCAAGGCACGCGCCCTCCGCCTCCAAGTCCTCGCTGCTGAGTTCCAAGCGTTACCTCATCCTCATCTACTCCGTCGAGTTTGACAGGTAAGGGCAGCTCTGAGCAGGGGGTGGACTGGGAAGACAACAGTCGCTGGGGGGTCGTGGTGGATAATCAGCTGAAGGCATCTCTCAGTGCAACACCACGGCCAACAGGACTAACGCAGTCCTGGTCTGCATGAACAGGGGATCTTACGTAGGAGCAGAGAGGTTATTTTCCCTCTGGATGTAGCTGTGATGCGACCGCTGCTGGGATCCCGTGTCCCTCTCTGGTGTCCGCAACTCGGGAAGGATGTTGATAAATCGAGAGAGGTCAGAGAAGAGCCACAAGAATGACTGAAGGCTTAGAAACCCTGCCTTATAGTGAGAGACTCCAGGAGCTCCGTCTGCTTAGCCTAGCAAAGAGAAAGTTAATGGTGACTTGATCCCAGTCATATAGGTACCTACCTGGGGAACAAGTATTTGCTCAGGACTCTTCAGGGTAGCGGACAGAGGTCTTACACGATCCAGTGGCTGGAAGCTGAAGCCAGACAAATTCAGGCTGGAAATAAGGCTCAAACCGTTAACAGTAATTAGCCGTTGGAACAACTCGGCGAGGGTCATGGTGGATTCTCCATCCCTGGCAATTTTCAATCCCGATTGGATGTTTGTCAGAGAGATCTGCTGGAGCTCAAAGCAGAATTAATTCCGGGCAGGTCTCTGACTGGGTTATCCAGGGGGTCAGACTAGAAGATCACAATGGTCCCTTCTGCTCTTAATCTAATTCATTCCAGCTATTAATCTAACTGGAGAGGAGGGGTGATATAGGGGGATGTGTAGCCATGTGCCTGTAGCAACCTCAGGGCATGTGCCGATTCCAGCTGCCCCTGCCTCTTGCTTCTCCACAGGATCCACTACCCCCTCCCGCTGCCCTACGTGGGCAAGCCAGACCCTGTAGCGCTGCAGAAGGTCATCAGGGAGCTGAAGGAGGAGCTGGCCGTGCTGAAGGCCAAACCAGGCAGGGATTTCCGGGACGCGGAGATCCGCCGGCTGCGGGACGAGTGAGTGAGGGGAGGGGCTGGGTGACGGGAGCCTCGGCGTTGAGCTGATTCCTCCCCCCAGGCTGTCTCAAGCGCCTGCCCCTGGGGCGCAGTCGGCTGTGCCAGCAGATCCACTATTTAAAATAAATAAAAAGTATATGGAGATATACCTGTCTCATAGAGCTGGACGGGACCTTGAAAGGTCATCGAGTCCAGTCCCCTGCCTTCAGCAGGACCAAGTACTGATTTTGCCCTAGATCCCTAAATGGCCCCCTCAAGGATTGGACTCACAACCCTGGGTTTAGCAGGCCAGTGCTCAAACCACTGAGCTGTTGCTCCTCCCACATAAGAATACCAGCTCAATGCTTCAGACTGACGCTAAGGGAGGAGCGAGGTCTGGGTATTACTACAGAGGGAGGGCTCCTGGGTTCTGTTCTGGGCTCTGCCACTGACTTATTGGGTGACCTGGAGTAAACCACGTCTCTCTGTGACTCAGTTTCCCCTCTGTACAACGGGGCTTATTGTCTCATCCCAGCAAGTCTAAGTGTGAATTAATATTTGTCCAGTGCTCTGAGGTCTGCTGCCATAAGGGGATTTGCTCTATACAGTAAGTGTCGTGTCACAGCGCCTCCTACTGGCAGTGCTGATCCCTTGCGTCCGTCTCTGCCTCTGCGCTGTGAGCCGCTGCGCCCCCTAAGCCCTGCCTGTGCGTGTCTCTGCCTCCCCAGGCTGGGCCGGGTGCTGGAGGAGAAGCAGGAGGTGGAGTCGGCCCTGCTCGGGCTGCAGGAGGAGCTGAAACTCTGCAGCAAGAGCAGCGCCGGGAAGGAGGTGAAGATCCTGAAGAAGATTGTGCAGAGCCTGGAGGAGGAGCTGCTGAAGGAGCGAAACAAGCACCAACGAGCGGCCAGCAAGCGTCTGCAGGAGAACCGGCAGCTGGCTGACGAGGTGGGGTAGTGAACCCCCCGGCTGGGCCCTGGCAACAGTGTAACCCCTCTCCCTCCCCATCAGGTGATGGTGTAACAGCCACGCCCAGCCTGGCGCTGGTGTAACAGCCTCCCCACACGCCTCCTGGTGTGACAACCCCTTTTCTCTTCCTCCGGCCCGGCCCCCAGTGCTGGTGTGACATCACCCCCCACAGACCAGAAGTCAGGACTCCAGATTCCTCCGCTAGAGCTTCCTAAAGGCGAAGATCTGAAGGAGAGACAAACCTTGGTGGAAGCAGCATGGGAGGGGAGTGGGGTCTAGTGGTCAGAGCAGGGGGGGCTGGGAATTAGGACTCCTGGGTCCTAGCTCCAGCTCCGGGAGGGAAGTGGGGTTAGAGCAGGGGGG